GTTATAAGACTTCTTTATTGTCAGTTTATTCTTTTAAATTGAGAATAGAGAACACTGATAACTAATGTTGGTGCACATTTATATAAGTTTGATTATGATCAGGAATATCCCATCTGTACTTTGCAGTCCTGTCCCAAGTACAAGTTGAGTAGGTGTTAATCAATGTGTACATATCATTTTTAGTCATCATGCATAGTACTGCCTTCCTGATTGCTTTATTTTTGAGAAACCTATTCTGCACCTACCTGGGTTTTAAGAGAGTCCAATACCCCATGAGACTGTTCAGTCTCATAAAATATGCTGAATTTACTTTTTGAAAACACAAGCTCACAATAAAGTCAGATGGGAGATCTACAGAAGCAAAGTGTGATAGACAAAGATGCATTCCTATATTAAACAAACAGAAAATAAATCTTTGTTGTTCCACGAGGCAGTTGTAGCCATAGCAAATGGATTAACAAGTGAATTTAGGTACTTAACCTTCAACTACCTGCTGCCTGAAATCCCTGTGACATCACTGTAGATTGTTGTAACCAACTAGCTGTGTGGGACATTATCACAATACATATTTAAGTTAATTGACTTGGATTGTAAATGTATTTCGCTGTAGTTACTAGCTTTGTCAACATGCTTTGGTGAAGGCCTATTCTTTCAATGTGATGCATTGAATAGTTGGATATTATTAGACGTCTAAAAGGACAACATTGTTCGTTTTACTGTAATTGCAATGCTAATACCAATTTAGCATAGTGGTAGCACTAACTGCTAACACGGTTTTGATATTCAGAGTCTGGCTGTTAGTGCAGGGTTGCCAACTCTCACGCATCTGGCGTGTGACACACGCTTTCACTCTCAATCTCACGCTCTCACGCTGCCCAAACTATTCTCACGCCAAAAACAAGAATACCGAAGACTAGAAACGGTTTTGAAAACTTTTGTCACGTAGTGATCGTCTTCTCAATAGAACATCTTTGATCATGTCTTCTGGCCAATCAGAATCACGATAACGGCGTGGTGTTGTTGCAGGAAGTCCCGACGGAGAATACTTTTGCGGTAGTACATCTCTATATACATCGATACAACATTACGTGTTGATAGAAATCAACACGTAATGAAATAAGACCCCACGGTTTGATGATTGATAGGTGTGTGGGCTGTCTTTCATTTTGACACACAGAACAATGGGGGCTATCCACCCTTATCCACAATGTAAAGTAATTCACACAGCCTCTTCCCTCTTCTCTCTGTGAGGAGCAGCACTGCTGCAGCAGGTTCAGCTTTCAGAACAAAGTAACACAAAACTAAAATAGCATTAATTTTTTTAAATATGTCGTGTAGTAATAAATGTATTTCTTTTTCTTCTCAAGAGAGTACCAGAATGTGTATTTTATGTTAGTATTTCAAAAAATCTCCTGGGGGAGAATCCTCCCAGACCCCCCTGCAGGGGTTGGGTTTTCAGCACGTCAACTCTTTCACCTGTGGGGAAATTGCAGGATTGGCTCCAGGTCGCCCTTTTTATTTACTACAAGACAAATGTGCCTTTTTATTTCATACAGTTCAATTTGGATTGAGACAGGGAAATAATCTAAACCTCACGCGTGGCGTTTCACTGTCGGGGGGAGCGTGTATGTAATTACATTGCAAATATTGACTTGAGCCCCACCACTGTATGGGTTAGCCCTACCATAGATTACCCAACAAAAATACTCTGGAGCCGCAACTGCCGACCCGTATTGCGCATACGCAGATCTAAGATCCAGTAGAAATGATAAAAAAGTAAAAGTCTGCTGCTTATTGTTCTACTAGGCCAAAATAGAGTCAAAGAGTGTATGAGAGTGAGAGTGTGTTAATTAATATATTTGGCAGTTTGGAGTAAGTCTGTAGATTTGTTTGTGTGTGTGTGTTTCATGTATAGGCCTCTCACGATAATTAATTTTGTTGGATACATTTTCCCGGAAATTATTGCGATAAACGATAATATTGTCGGCACCGTTGTATGACCATTTTAGACCACTGACATAATGATAATATATAATAATAATTCAAGTACATCCTTTCAAACTGCTAGTCACATCCTCATGTAAATGGCAATTTATCGAGGTCAGAAAAGTTATCGAGTTCATTTTTATTTATCGTACGATAAGTCAATTAATTGCTTATCGCGACAGGCACACAATAAAACAGTGGAAACAAACATGTTTGACTTTCATTAGTGAATGAAACTGTGTGCCCTTTATACTGTAGTCTGTGTCCATTATTGTGTATTTGTATATATTGTATATATATCCTATATGCTAAGGTCCCGCTGCTGACACGATAGCAGTCATTTTGTGCGCATATGTGTAATTAAACCGAATTAAACCCATGATATCAAAATCTCACTCCAGCCAGGTACCCAAAGTTGGCAACCCTGTGTTAGTGCATGTTCAATGTTATGGGCTAAATTGTACATGCTAGTGTGATAAGGCCTAGGGGAAGATGCTAATGTTATTTAACTTCTAGATCCTTTCATTTTTCACTTAGAGTGAAACTCAATATGTTTTTTGCATACTGTGCGCCAATCACTCTGTGTTTTAAATATTGAGTCACACATTTTAGAACATTGATACATTTCTAAAAGCTACTTTCCCAACAAACATGGTGCAGTTGTAGCAATCGCTACGAGAATGCACTCTGTGTTAGCTGCACAAGGCACTTTGCGGTAGCTTCACGTCTCTGATGATCTGAAAAGCTAAATAATGTCAGAAATGTACACAGCTTTTTCTTGTGTTGAAACAGATCAGCAGGTCAATGTTACTTGGGTTGTGAACGCACAACAGTTGGTTGTTTGTTAGTAGAGTTGCTTTACTGTAATCGCAATGCTAATACCAATTTAGCATAGTGGTAGCACTAACTGCTAACAAGGTTTTGATATTCAGAGTAGGCTGGCTGTAAGTGCTTGCTAGCATGTTCAATGTTATGGGCTTATGCTAGTGTGATAAGGCCTAGGGGAAGATGCTAATGTTATTTAACTTCTAGATCCTTTCATTTTTCGCTTACAGTGAAACTCAATATGTTTTTTGCATACTGTCTGCCAATCACCGTTAGCTGCACAAGTGACTTTGCGGTAGCTTCGCGTCTCTGATCATCTGAAAAGCTAAATGATGTCAGAAATTGGCACAGCTTTTTCTTGTGTTGAAAGAGATCAGCAGGTCAATGTTACTTGGGCTGTGAACGCACTGAACACCAAAACTGCTCCCTGGCGCCGGCTATCTGGCAGCCTCCCTGCGATCCCCTCTCCTATCCGCATGTGGTTGTGTTTGTGCATGTATATGCTCTGTGTGTTTGTGCATGTACAGTATATCCTCCCTGTGTGTGTAATGTGTTTAAACACAACAGAGTGGGGGAAGACATTTCCCTCTGAGTGATGAATACATGATATCTTCTTCTTCTTCTACTTAGAAATCATAAGTGAATGGTCACATTAGGTTTGCCTGCAGTGAATGCTGACAGCTATGAGCTAGTTTATAGATGTATCATGGCATAGCCAAATGTCTCCTATATAACCCACAGGCTGTTACTGGTGGGTTATAGTATCATTTTATATCTGAATTGTGCTCTGGTAGGAATTCGCACCCAACATGCTAACAGTCAAGTTTTTTTTAACTCTATGGTTTTACACAGTTTTTATAACATGAAATTCTCATATTTAACAATTAAATCTTCAAATTAATACAAATGTAGCAATAAAGTGAAAGTCAAAATCTGTTAAAATGTAGTTTTTTTTTACTATAATAGGATAGTCAATACCTGTGTTTTTTCAGTTTATCAATGTAAAGTAGTGGTTAAATTAAGCAAAATTACAAAATATTTCTTTCTCATATATTTTCTTGCAATTATAAATTTTTTAAATGAGTATTAACAGTATTTGTTATGTATTTGACAGTTATATATAGCCATAACAAAAGTATTTTTTAGTAAAATTACAGAAAATGCAGCTAATTTTGTAAACAGAAAATCATTTATCTTTACGGTTAGTTTTGTTAAATTCGCATTTAAAAACTGCTAAAAAACAGATAAATAATGTAGTCCATTTCTACAGTTTTTTTTTGTTAAAATACATGACACATTTCAATAAACCGTTTATTCTTGTAAATTGAATATGATTTCCTGTAATTATGAAATACAATAAAAAACTGTAATTTTTTTGGGGGAAAAACTGTAAAAAAACATTTTTTTTTTACAGTGTATATTGATTCTGACTTTTCTACATCCAACTCACAGGTTTATCATTACTTTGAGAATAAAGATTATTAATTTAACCCTTTTAGAAGGGAAGATATGGTCATTTGTTCTGGGAATGTCATTTTCGAGCCTGAGACCTGAAAAACAGGCTCAGTGCTTAACAGGTTAATAGGTTAAATAAGTCAGGTTAACTTTCTAAGTAAAATCACCTAAATTACCTCAAGTCAATTTGCTTTATGTGTACATTTAAGGAAATATATACATTTAATCTATCATTCATTGTCCCCTAAAATGTATGCTCTCTGATGACTGTAACAAAGTCATCTTTTATCTGAGGTCGTGTTTTGGGTTAGCTTTGGAGTTATCTTTGTGCACAGAAAGGGAGTAGTTACAAATGTTTCTCATGTTTCTCAGAAGTGGGCCCTTTACACAACTCGCAAATACAGTCCCAAAAGAGTGAACATGTCTCACCTTTGCCCAGTGTCCCCTCATTGCATGTGCAGTGTAGTCATGTGTTTTTGTGATTCTGATGCATGGTTGAAAACCAAGATTGTTGCATATAATATTATCTTATCCATAATAGTTCATGGAATACATTCTAGTGATGTTATTTTCTGCCATATTTAAATAATACAAAATATAGTTTGGGAGGAAGTGCCATATGTGTTCATAGCGATAACTCATTGCTAATATACATCAGGCGAACCCACCAATCCAAACATGGACCCCACCCTTATCAGCTCATAGCAGACTGTTTCCCCACCCAAACATCTCGTGTCACATCGGAACTGGTGGTGAACACGCGCGTGCTGAAGAGATCAACACTGTTCAGGTTCAGATATGCACCGAGCAGAACATCTAAGCAGACCTTCCAAAATACCAGCTTTTCTCTGGACCAAAGGGACATGAGGTAAAAAAAAAGATTTCAATATGTTAGTTATGTTGTTCATTGTGCTAGTTTACCAGAATTGTTCAAATTTATATAATTCCAATCAAATATGTGATCATATGGGAAACACCTGTTTTAAATGTGTATGTGGATATGTACATATATATTTGGAAACCATGGTAGGGGAGAGTATGGTAAGATGAGCCAATTTTAAATATGTTGCCCTCAGGGGTTGGGCTTTCAACTAAAGACACAGCCACGCAAAAAACGCGGCTTGTCTACGGCTCATTATGGGTACTGGTACTGCAATTGTTTAGGTGCCAGAGCGCTCCGATAGCACTACACCCCTGGTTGTCCTCTAGGAAAGGAAAAACCTTTACTTCAGGATGTCTTCTGTCAATCAAACTGAGAATAATGCATCTATCACAAAGGGCCATGCAAATATGACTTCTAAAAAAAATTGTCTTCTGGCTTAACTTGCCCCATCATACATTGATCCGAGACAAGGTAGTAAATTGAAAAATTGACTTTTTCAAGTTTAAACCTGTTGTTTGGTACAGGTATGTTGTTTATGTCTGTAATTTAAAGGCCAGTTCACAGCATTTCTCTGGAGTAAGACCATGGAACTGGTCAGCCAATTACAAATGTTTCCTTCTCTCTCCTGTGTGAAGACCCTCTTTCCTCTGCTGTTCGACTGTACCTACTGTTTTCATTTCCTTTTCTCCTTCCCGTTTATGTGTTTATGCAGGCTGTCGATATTTCTGTCTTTTGCCACTGCTCTGATGGATTTTCCAGCCTTGCCATCAGTGGCTCTGTCCATCTCCTCAGTATTTCTTTTGGACTTTCTTGGCATGATAGCTTTTCTACAATGTTTAAAACATAAAAAACACATCAGTTGTGTAAAACTACATTTAGTTAGTGAGTTAACTTAACTTCAGTGCCTCAGGTGGGATTAAGTTGAACCACTGATTCACTTTGCCCCACAGCCACTTTTTGGAATAAAAACGGTCTAGTTTAGTCATTCATGCTAATCTTTAGCTAAATGATTGACATGGTTTTACACCTTGCTAAATAATATAATAATATGAATAATATGATACATATTTTCAGACCTGGATAGATTTACTGTGACACAACAGTTATCATACCTGACATGTTAACATTTACTTTGACAAGCAAAACATGGTTTATTGTGTAAAAAACACATTTACCACTTTACCATCACGTTAACCTGCTGTCATGTCAACTTCCACATGTTTTACATGAAATTATACCCTGAAAACTGAAAGAAATGGTAAAAAGAATATTCAAAGAAGAGAGCAAAGGCAGAAAAAACAACAACTGATTATAAGAATTATTGAATTTTAATGTTCTGGCCAGTGTGAGTGGCCTGCTAAACAGAAAATTAGCTTTTTGTGATGTTAAATGTGTCATTCTGTTGCGAACAAACACCTGTGTCACCAAAGAAGACATACATACTCTTTCTTAAATTACTCTGTACTTCTTTTACCATCTCATTTGTTGTCCAATTGGAGAGGAGAGTTTCTGTGACTAGGTTTTACACAATATAGGATGCAGTGTTGAGTAATATTCTGTCCATTTTCTTGACTGACAGAGCAAAGCAACAGAAGATTTGGACGAGCAAACAGAACAGAAGTGGACAATGGAAAACTGTAAGCAATTAGAAGATGAACAAACCATAGTGGACATGAAAACCAAAATGGAGATTATTGAAAGACAAAGACAATTGACTTGGGAAGTAATGGGGAAGATTGAACAACTTTGGGAAGAGGCACAAAGAGAAAGAAATGAAACAGACTACCTGGAGAAAAAATCAGAGCAGCAACAGGAGGACATCGTCAGACTGAGAACTGAAAATCAAAAGCAGCATATATTAATAAATAAACTGAGATCACAGATAGAAAAACATTTTGAGAAACTTGAAGAGAATAAAAATGAAGCGGCTCAAGAAAAATTGCTGCTTCTTAAAATGAGAACTGAAATATATAGAGAAAAAGAGACCCTGGAAAAAAGACGTTATGAGCTCATCAATGAGCGACATGAGTTAGAAATGATCAAGGTTGATAAGACAACACAAACAAGTGTTGATCCAAAAGAAGCCATGGAGCAGATAGAAAGGAAGCAGGAGATAACAGACAGTCTGCTCAGCCTCATCAACACAAATAACAAAGTAATGCTTGAAACAAAGCAGGAAAAAGAACATATGGAGAAAATCATTACAGACATAAAGCAAGAGTTGATTATTATTACAAATAATAATTCCCACCATAGAGATCAACTTGAGCACATCAAACATAATATACATTTAAAAATGAACACGATGAAGAGAAGGTGGGCAGACATTGAAAGAGCTGAGAGAGTTGAGCTGCAGGAAGCCACAGTCCCAGAGATGAGAGGCAGAGAAAGGCAGAAAGAAGGAAGACACACCTTTGGCATTGTGAAGATTCACCTCTGCACATTCCAGAAGGAGATGAAGAAGCTTTGGGATGAGCTGGAGGTGACTTTGACAGAGGAGCAGGAGCTGAAGACAGAGAGCAGTCAAATGGCAAACATTACATGTGACTCTCAAAAGCAAAGAGAAGACACAGATGTAAACATTCAAATAAAACAGTGGCAAACAGACATGGAAGCTGATATGCAAAGGCAACAACAAAACAAAGAGGAAAAGTTGGCATGGGCCAAATGTGAAAAGGATGATATTGATCAAATCAAGACTAACATACAAACTGAGAGAGAGGACATTGAGAGAGAGAGGCAGATAGCTAGAGCCGAAATGATTGCATTGACGTGTGTGAGGGAGAGTACTGAAAGGCAAATGCAGGAGCTGGATGACAAGTTACAAAGGACAAAGAAAGAAATAAGAGAGAAGGAAGAGTTGAACACTGAGATTGAAATAAAGAAAAAGGAGCTAGTAAAAATGATAAGAATGAGCAAGAGAAAAAAGAAAGAGTTCAGCAGCATGATGGAAGAGGCTGAGCCTGTTAAACAAGACATGCAGGAAGGACAAGATAAGACTAAGGAGCAGGTGAACGTGGAGGACACATCTGATGAGCAGAAGAAACAACTTCCTCTGGCTGACAGAACCATAGACATAACACAGGAAGTGAACACTGACATGAAGAGAGTGATTCTTGAAGGAGAAGAAACCAGAAAGATGCTGTGTGGGGTGAGAGAAGATACAGAGCGAAGCAGGACAGACTTTACAGAAGAGAGGAAAATCCAATGGATGAATTTTCAATTAAAAAAAAAACAAAGACAGCTTGACCAACAGCTGGAGAAGACAAATAAAGAAAGAGATGAGCTGGATGTCACGAAGATAAAGATACAGAAACTCAGGGAAGAGGTTGAACAAAAACTAAAAGATACAATAACTGCATTTCTGAATATGGATGAAATAAAAGCTAGCATTGAAAAAGCTACTACAGAGATGAAGAAAACCAGGGAGGAGATGCTCAAAGTCCAAAGGGAGATGGATCAGAACAAGGAACACATCAACAAGTTTAGGGTAAGTCAATAAGTAATACATATGCCTTCTTAACATAGAATGTCTACACATGTTGAATTCAACATAGTCAGATTCTAAGACTATATGTACATCATTTATTCGTCGTTGATAATTGACAGAGTAGAAGGATATAAATCGTCATCATCCATACACATTCAATGCATTTATTAATCCAAATGGATAGATCATTTATACATGCATATTACATTTTATAACTGAATCACCTAATATTTTGTCATCACCATGTTTTGTCATAACTTCGTAAATGTCCCTCCAGATGCACCAAGATGTTCAATTATTGGTTATAAATCTTAAACTTACATCCAATAATTCTCCCCATTAAGCAATCAATTGCAAACGTATAACTACTGGGCTATAATGTTTCATACTTCAAAACATCCAAACAGACCCTGCTATTAAAGTGGATTTACCTGCAGTTAGCCTGTGTTGAATAAGTGATAATGTGCAGCGAGCTGGTCATAAATGAAAAAATATCGGCAACAGGGTGAGCAGGATCAGGTTTTTTGGAATAATGTTCTCTTATTATTATTCAAATATTTGTATTGAATTTTCATTGTACAACGTTGTATTAATGGCAGATAACTCAATCTCAAAATAGGACAAAAATGGTTGCCAGACCTTATTCTGGATAGAGCCCCAGGCAGTGTGCTTTAGCTGTTCAAGCTTAAGATGGGACATTACTTCCTCCCAGCGCTTGTGAGATGGTGGTGCAGCCTTCTTCAAACTAAGGAGTATCAGACATCTAGCAAGTAAGGTAGAGAACGCCACAGCCTCAGCGTGAGCAGTTGTTATTCGTGTCTCCTTTGGGACCATGCCAAATAATGCGGTCAATATCCGTATTACACATATACAAAAAGGTTCTAAATATACCAGTCCAGAACAGGGTACATTTTGGACAGAGCCAAAACATGTGACTTAGGCTGGCTGGGTCCCGACTGCGCCTGATGCACACTGCTGCTGTAACAAAATAATTTCCCAATTTGTGATCGATAAAGTGTCTGTCTGTCTATCTATTTATTTTACAGATAAAAAACACTATGTATTTTCAAGCTAAAGGTGATACAAAATATAAACTGTATACTGTTATTTTTTTAAAGACATGTTACATTTCAAAAGCATATATGGCTATGTTTAGGACAAATAATTAAAGACTGCTTTCCTTTAACAAATTCTACAATATAAAAGTGGCAGATTTGCTTTATTAAACAGACCAGACCTAGGCTGCATACCAACACAATTAGGAACATGCTCACATGTTGGTCTGAAGAGCTGAAGCATTCATACACAATGGATAAAAACTGTGTTGTCTCATTCTATATTATGTGAGAAAATGATATACATTTAGCATAAAAAACTCGACATACTATTCCTAGCCTGAGGAAGATATGAATAATCAACAGATTTGAATGGAATCTCTAACATTTTCATGTAGAATAAAGACTAAAGAGTGATTATACAAATTACATTTATTGACATTTGAAACAGAAGATTAAGTCTCAAAGAATGTTTTAAATAAAAGGACGTACAACAAAAAGGTGGATAATAATCAAATCTATTATGTATATGTAAAGACATTTGGTCAAATGAAATGACACTGAGCCAGTAATAACAGCTACGCCCAGCGTGGATGAAGCTGGAGCAGGTCTTTCTTCATGCCCCCTCAGTGGATCTGATGCTGTCCCCTCACTGGAAGTGGGAAAACGGGATAAGACCTCTGGAGACCACGCTGTCTCAATGATCCACACTGTTAATATGAAGGAAAATAATTGTTTTAGGAAAGGAAAAATATTAAGTTAACTATCAAAAGGTGTCCATATAGAAAATAAATAAATAATTGTGCCATTAATTCAAACACATTTAAAAAATGGAATTGTAAATGAATAGGAAGAGAGCTCAAATCTGATACTTAAAGGTCCCCTATTATACTGTTTTTCATTACTTTAGTATAGGTCTCAGGTATATACAAAACATGTCTGTGAAGTGTTTGGCCTCGAAATACCAAACAGATCATGCATTGTTGCATCCTATAAACCCCTCTGTTTCAGCCCTTTTTCAAAAGTGCTGATTCTCTGTCTTTTACTTTAGATGAAAATAAGGAGCCACTCCCCACGCCCCTCTGCGAGATATTTGGTAAAAAAAAACACAATGGTGCTCTAGGAGATTCAGGTGATAAGGTGGGGGGGGGGGTTACCTTGGTTGGTTATTGGCTAATGGTTACACAAGCCAAAAAATCGTTATGACATCATAAAGTGGCCAAAATCTGATCAGCTCATTTTCAGACAGGTTTTTATATAAATGGATCAGGACCAAAAGTGAGCGAATCTTTTTTCCTGAAACTTTCAGAATCTCTTTACACAGAGGGGACACATGTTTATGTATAAAAGACAGGACAAAGTGGATTTTACATAAAAGGTGACCTTTAATACGAGTATCCTATTTGTAGAATTTTGCAATTCATAAAAGAGAAGCCAAAGTTCAACATTTGTATGACAAATAAAACTCAGCTCAGAGGCAGTCATGGACGGTAGGTTTTCCTACAAAGAGAAGTAGTAAACTCAGCCTCCATTCATTTACATATCAAATTAGCATTTTAATAAAATAAGCTATCATGGCTTATACTTGCATATCTAAACAGAATCATGAAAGCATGTTGGTAGAGTCAGGCACACGAGTCCATTTGAGTGTGTCTGCCGGTGTCCGAACGCTCACGCACTGCTAGCTAAGTAGCTAATGGCGCATTTCCGCTGCAGGGCCTCGCACGGCTTAGTACGGTATAGTTAGGCCTTGGTAGGCCAGGCTCACTTTATGCTGCGTTTCCATTACAGTTTAGGAACTGGGTTAGTAACTACAGTAACGCAGTGTAGGCGGAGCCGTGACGTCATCTTCAATGCGAAACACAAAACCAACATCAGCCGTTAGCTGTTAGCACTCAGAGCTCACAGCTCCTCATATCTGTTCAGAAACTAGACAAAAGTTAAACAATTACAAACCACAGACTGTCTGTGTCATGGCGAATACAGTCGCTGGTTTATTTATGTCTGTATAGGCCGTTGTTGTGAGTGTGGACGGTCGGAGCAAATACAATGTTAGCTTAGCCGATCTCCATCTTGTCTGCAGACTTGTCAAAGCATTAATTCATGGTTTTTACTAACCGGTATCAGTATGTTGTTACTTCGGCATCATTTTGAAACGTGTATTACAATTAAATCACGGTAAAATATGTTCATTTTGTTGTAGTTGCCAGCGATTCTCTCACTAGTTTAGCATATTCAGCCCGGTTGTTGGCCCGGAAAGAACCTCGATTTTGGAGAGCCAGAAAAACTGTGAAAAAGTATCCGCTAGCCGGAACTACGCCTAGTGGAAACGCAACCAAAAACGGGCCGGGCACGGCACAGCACGCTTAAACCGTGCTCCGCGCTGTAGTGGAAATGCGCCATAACTGTCCCTGCTGCTAGGCTACTTAGCTTGCATTGTTATGGATCTAAAGTTAGCAAAAGCTAACTTTAATAGCACAGCTTTGTTTAGTGTTTGTTCTCACTTAACACAAGAAAGAAACATAACGTATAGTACAGCACAAACAACACACATGATCAATACTTACATATATTTTTCCCTTGTAGTATTGTAATATTTGCAATGCTTGTTCTTCTGGGGGTCTTCTGTCCATGCTGAGCTACCGCAGTTGCACTGTACAATCGCTGGAGGACTGGGCTGTCACTCAAAACGGAGTAGCCAATGGGGACGCACCCCTGAAAGTCCCGCCCACCTGAGCTGTTTGTGCCAGAATCGCAAACAAAAAATGAAGGAGCGCAAACGAGAGAGCTGCAGCGAGAGAAAAAGTCTGATCATTGAGAAAGAAGCAAAGAGAACTGCAAACACTGGCCATTTCAATTTTTTCAACATCCTCCGAGGGCCGTACAAATTATTGACCTCAGCTTAAAAATACTAAATCACAGCCCATTCATTTGGCCTTTCTTTCATGCTGTGCAAAGAAAAAGCAACCTCTTAATCCAGATATCTTACCATGACTCGCGTATGCATGCACGTGCACGGTTGTGGCATGACCACCACAACAGAAAGATATGGACACAAGATGTGTGCAAATGTATTTAGTTTCCTATCCATGTGAACATGATTTAAGTGGGGGGGGGGGGGGGACTTAACCTCCTCTAGGGGGGTCGGGGGGTATGCTCCCCTCTGGTGCACTTTGAGAGCATCATTAGGAGATCTATTGATACATCTCTCAACATCCATATGAAACAGAACTGTAAACAGATTTTATTTTTATTTATGGATATTTTACAAATCACTCCCCTTTTAAACTGTATTCTTGTTTATTAATAACAACTTTTTTTTACTGTCATATAGTATTTTATACCTGTTTACTTTATTCTCTTATTTTTTTATAACTATAATGATCATATAAATATGTGCCTTTACCTCACTGGTTGTAGAAAAAGCTTCTTATATTTGTTAGCATAGCTAGCTAACCAGATGCTAATAACAACAAAGTTATTGACTGTATGATCAGTATGACCAGGGTTGACAACTCTCACGCATCTGGCGTGTGACACACGCTTTCACTCTCAATCTCACGCTCTCACGCTGCCCAAACTATTCTCACGCCAAAAACAAGATGAACCGGCGATCGTTTTTGGCTGGTTACTTACAATGTTGAGTTGACAGCATTATTTGTGGTACTGTAGTGCCGAGAGATAGGAGTCGGAGGCGGTGCATCGAAGGTGCAAATGGGAACTTTAACCTGATAAGCTCTGAGCCTGTTTTTCAGGTCTCAGGCTCGAAAATGCCATTCCCAGAACAAATGACCATATCTTCCCTTCTAAAAGGGTTAAATTAATAATCTTTTTTCTCAAAGTAATGATAAACCTGTGAGTTGGATGTAGAAAAGTCAGAATCAATATAGATGTTTTTTATTTTAAAGAAGATTCAGATTTTACATAGTAAAAAACTGTAAATTA